CTGTCTAAGCAACCTGTTCCAATGCTTCACTACCTCGCTGTGATTTTTTTCCCCTTGTATCTGTACTCCATCTCCCCTCTTATAGTTAGAAACCATTTCTTGCCTTCCCTCCCCAACATTTTACCTCCATGCACTCTTGCTTGCTCTTCTCCCACTTCCCAGCAGACTACAGATCAAGTTGCTCACCCAATTTACGAGATTCCCAGCAAAAACCATGTTATGTGGGCTCGTCCTTTGCCCACAGCACCCTGAAGCATGGAACATCTGGCCAAGTCAGAAGGCAGCAGTGCTGTTGGATTGCCAACGCGCAATATTTAAGTTTTGTTCAGCAGATTGTGAAGCTTTGCAGTTCGGTGTTCTTAGTTTAGAAGGTTTATTTTTGGCTGAAAGTACAGAACTTGCAACTCAGTGCCTTTTTATTTATAGGCTGGCAGATAAAAGCAGGGCTGTTTTGGGGAACTCTGTTTTCATTGGCAGAAAGCGTGTTTGGATTACAGCAGAGTAACACCTTAAGTTAGTCATAGTCAAACAAGTCTCTGAGTCCTGAATTTTATGGAGGGGAGCATAAGCTGTTTAATTTCCCCTTCTTTTTTTTTTTAATTAAACATTCAGCATCCAATAAGATCCGTACTGGTGCTTTCTGCCACGTGAATGGAAAAGACTTTTGCTTTATGCAAAGGTGTTTTGAAAAGCTGAAGGCAGCTCTTCAGATTGGATGCTGGAAGGAAAACTTCTCGAGAAGAGTGATTGGGCACTGGAAGAGGCTGCCCAGGGAGGTGGTAGAGTCCCTGTCTCTAGAGGTGTTCAAGAAATGTGGGACATGGCATAGTGGGCAATATTGGTGATAGGTGGATGGTTGGACCGGATGATCTTAGTGGTCTTTTCCAACCTTAATGATTCTATGATTCTGTTATCCCCATTCCTCCCCCAAGCCAATAGCAAGATGGTAGGAGTAACTGTGGATGGTGTAGGACCATGTGAATGCTGTAGGACAAGGAGTTGTTGAATTAGGGAATGATGAATAAGAGCAGAGAGTATTGATTCAGACCTCCTCCCAAATGAGGGGATATGAAATTTGTTGGCTAAAAGTTTTACAATTCAAGAAAGACTTCCAGAGGTCCATAAGTGTCTCTTCTTGCAAATTGCTGAGCACATTGAGTGCTAGAGGCTGAGTGCTCCATAGACAAGGAGAATGTAGACAGCCAGGGCAAGCAGCTATGGGCTCAGTGGAAGACGAGAGCAGGAGACAAGTGCTGGCTCAATTCTCCAGCATTTACTTCCCAAATTCGACAGTTGGACCTGGGAAAAAATGGACATAAAATTATTTGTTTTGCTACTTTTGGACCATCACTGCCCTGCTTCCTTCCCCACTATCCTCACTGATACAGGCTGGTAGAGGCTTGATGTAAGGACTACTGTAAATCCAGCAGCCACACCTTTTTATTTTTACTTAAAAAAAAATATTTTCTGGAAACAGGTAGTGAAGAGTTGGTTTGGATTGACCAAAGGGATCCTTATCCCTTTGCTGAACACCCACATCCATGTCTAAAAATACCTTACTGAAGCACTGCATTGCATCTCGACAGCAGCTGGCTGCCCTGCTAGCTCTGCCTGCTCCCTCAGGAGCTTGTCTAATTGAATATGCTGCATAATATACTGCTAATTTGGCAGCTGTCAAACTGAATTACAATATTTTTTTTTAACAGAAGAGCAGTGGGGGTGAGAGAAGTTGTTGCGTAGTGTGATTACACCAACTGACCATGTTTCTCTTTGCATCCCTCAGTTAAGGAAGAGCCAGAAAGGAGTTTGAAGAAGGCCCGTTTAGGTCCTTCCTTGATCTCACCCCATTTAACAGCTCCAGCTCTTCCATCAATGTTGGGTCTGTTTCCTTGCCATTGTTTCCACTTTGCTGCATTTGCAAACCCAACTCAGGTGCCCATTCCATTGGAGGTGGGTGCCCATTCCATTGGAGCTGGAGCTTAAGCAAATGCTTCTTGCTACCCACCATAGTCTCTGCAGTAAATCTTGCTGCTTGGACATACCCTTTTGGTAACCCTCCTGAAATATTTCAAGCTTCTGAGATATTTGTTCTGTCTCCTGGAAGGTGGAGAGAGAAGAGCCCTTGTTGCTGAGCCTGAATTTCTTTTTTGCTGTGGGGAGGAGGGGGATGCAGCTCCTACATTTTTATCATTCTTGCTTTTCCCTGCTTATACCTCAGAGCAAGTAGAAGCATGAAGGTATAAATCAATGTCCATCAGAGAGCTCCATGGTGAAAAATCCCTTGTGCCAAAGGTATTTCCAGAGATTATATCTCCTCTTTGGACCCACGTGGCAATCTTATGCTTCCCTGCTGGTATCAACATAGAAGCCACTCCTGTCCAGGGAGAAAGGAGAGATTTCCTTTGGTTCAAAAGGAGCCTGGAGTGGTTTTTCTTGCATTAATCCCACGCGTTATGGCTTCCAGTAATCAACCATGGAGACCATGAAGGACTGTGCTGCTCTCCTTCCCTTCCCTTTAATATGGTCTGATAGTGACAGGACAATGGGTTTTAAATTAAAAGAGGAGAGATTTAGGTGAAATGTGAGGATCAAAGTCTTTTCTCAGGGAGGGTGGGGGGCCCTGAAACAGGCTGCATGAAGAAGCTGTAGATGACCCATCCCCAGAGGTGCTAAAGGCATGTTGGATGGGGCCCTGGGCAGCCTGATCAGGTAGGGGGTAACCATTCCATGGCAGGGGTTGGATCTGGGTGAGCTTTAAGGTTTCCTTCCAACCCAACCATTCTGTGATCCTGATGAAAGACATCTCTGCTTTACACAACATTCGTTATCCTCGTTTTGGTTTGAGGTCACCAGGTCACCAGCCATCACCTCTGTGCTAAGCTTTGGGCAGCTACCAGCCCAGGGATTATTTCCACCCATGGTGATTCAAAGCAGGTTTAACCCTTTGTCTGGATGTAGAAGACAACATGCACCTTCCCATGGCTGGGTGTCCCCAAGCACCTCCTCCATGCCAAATGGGACCGTGTTGCTCTGACAGATGCTCCTACTTTGCCTCCTTTCTCTCAGGCTTTAAAGGGGTAAATTAACATGCATTCCCTGCACTGCTGTCCTTTGGTCATTGCAGGGTCAGCGCATCCATCTTCCAGCTGTTCACAAAGAGGGTGAAGGGTGAAGCCAAGTTGCTTATAATTGTATGGAAGAGGGAAAATAATAATAATTACAAAAAATTTCCAGCACGTTTTGGAGAAGGAAGGGGACCAGAAGAGACCCACAACCCTGGGCCATGCTGGAGGCAAAAATAATGGCTCTCTATCCTCCAAGCTGTTCCTCTCCCAGGTTTCCCATGTCAATAAATCTCACCTTCATACTCTCTTGGGCTTCAGCTGCTGATTTATGATCGGTATAATGAAAGATGCTGAACAGAAACTAACTGTGTGGCTCCAAGTGATTTACAGAGACGTCTTTATCCCTCTCCTTCCCTTCTCATTTAATTTAGTGTACGGAGTAAGTTTTTTACACTTTGGAAGTGACAGAGATCTCATGGAGGTTCCCAAAGGAGTTCAAGAGTTTCCTTCTCAGTTAATAAAAAAAAAAAAAATCCCTTGTTTTTCTCCATCCCACCGTGGTGAGCCATGGTGAGGACAGATTGAAAGCATTAATAAACACAAACCTGAATTTAATGAAAGGTAAAGATTTGAAACAGAAGTGTTGAGTTGATGAAAGCACTGCCCAGCCAATGAAGGTTTATTAAATGAAAGAGTCTTGGGGAAAGATGATTTGTTGAGTTAGAAATGTATATACTTGGTAACTGCTTGGGAGTTGTACGCCCATTGATGCAGCGAGGTTTGAGAGGATAAATCCATGGCAAGTAAAGCAGTGCAGCATGGACAAGATTCCCAGGAGCCCGAAGCAACCAATGGGTCTAGTTTGGGGTCTTCAAATCCTGCTGGTGTCCTCAGCACCAACTGAGTTGGTTTTCCAGCTCTGATCCAGATCTGAGCCACGACCCCAAGTCCAGAACATGGGCACCTCAGCTCGCCTCAGCTCACTCACCGACCTGAATGCAATTAGGACTGTTATTCTATCATTTACTATAAATGCAATTAAATAGGAGCCTTCCCCATGGCCACCCTTTCCCTTCTCCTCTTCCTGCACTCAGCCCAGATCTCACGTAATTTCCCCCCAATCAGTAGGAATCAAGGCTAAAAGGGATGGATACAAGGGGATAAGAAAAGTGGTCACGATTTAGGGCTGCAGAGGAAGAAAACAGCCACCCCACCATTCTGTAGGCATCATAGATGTGTAGCTCATTATTGTTTTAGCTGCATTTCCCTTGTGCAAGATGGAAGTGCCCAAAATGGATGCCCAGTTCTTGGAGGTGCTCAAGGGCAGGTTGGACGGGGTACTGGGCAACCTGATCTGATGGGTGGTAAGACCATGGCAGGGGGGTTGGAAGTGGATGAACTTTAAGGTCCCTTTCCAACCTGAGCCATTCTCTGATAAGTGAAGGTGAGGGCAGTTGTCCCCCATAAGCACCCAGGTCTGTCACCCATGGGCACTGAGCAGGCAAACGGGGCTGTGTTGATGGACTCATCTATAAATCATGGCATAAGCAAGAGAGTCTCACAGCACACTTTGCCACAGGACATTTTGTTGCTGGCGTTGTTCCATTAACCATGGCATAACCACTAGCTCAAGAACATCCCGACCATCTCCTTGCTGCAGGAGGGTGGATTAGGGAAAAGGGTCTTTTATTTGGCTTTTCCTTCCAGCTGCTTTGCCAAGAAAAACACATCTTCTGCTGTGTGGCACCGGCAGGAAAAGGAGGTAAGGCTGAGTTCTTCCCTTGAAGCTCAGCAAGACTGAATCATTCCTACCTTTCCTCATATTAAAGGGAGGATAAACTGTGTGTTTTCAGTTCCCCAATAATTTTCTGATCGCCACCAGCTGACTGCCAGAAGCAAAATATGCAAGGAGAAACAAAAGGACCCTCGTGCTTTGAACAGGAGATATTTATTTTGTTCAACAAAACCAAACCTCAGTAACATCAAAAATACCCCCAAGCCCAACCAGCCAACCCAAAAGCTGTCGATCCAAAGCGCTGGTCTAAAAGCATCTTGGCTCATCACTTTGCCTGCCTCTGCTAAAAAAAAAAAATAATAAATGTGTCCTATCACTCTATCATTTCTATTGCAAACATAAAACCCAAACAGATCATTCTGGGTGAGGAGGATTCAAATACTATTTTTGGCTATTGGGGCACTTTTGCATGGACCTTCCCTTCACCTCACAACCAGGGGAGCTCTCCCACAGCAGGAAAGGAATCGCTGACATTTCTACAACAATAAATATCTGGAAACACACAGAATTACACTACAGACAGTTAAAAAAAATATATGGGATAACAACATAAAAATATAACCCATGATCAATACCTGGTTTGAGGGAATTACAGCTTAAAAAGAAGGAACCCAGACATCTCCAAATGTACCATCATCACACAGAAATGGGTGACAACATGCAATTTTGTTGATACAAAGGGCAACAACCTGGGGAGTAGGCTATGTACACTATGTTACAGGCACTCAGGCACCTGCTCAGCTGTTGTTTTGCTAACTCCTCAACCCAGGCTGCAAAAACCACAGCCAGGAGCAAGAGCTGAGCTGCAGGACATACAGGGAAGCTGCTGGGGAACAGTTTCCACGTTCAGAAAATCCTTGGAAATATCCCAGTTCTGATAATACGAAAGGTTTTCTTCAGGCTCAGGAGAAATCAAACCAGAAGGACAAAACCTTCATCTGGTTCTGGCTGGGATGGGGTTAATGCTAACAGTACACCAATGTTTAACCTATCGCTGAGCAGCACAGGGTCAATGCTTTCTCATTTGCATCATGTTCTTCTTCTTTTCTTTGCTTATTAGCAATGCTCACAAGTATTGCAGGTTTTGCTCTTTCTACTTCTCCCTACACCCATGGCTGTGCAGTGCTTTGTTGCTGACAGGAACAATGCATCACAAGCACAGCTCCCATGTTGGAGGGGCTGTAAATATTGAAGCCAAAAGCCACGAGGATGTTGGTGGATGAATATCAGATCACTGCCGTCCCCCCTTGGCCAAGCTTGATGTGATCAACTTGACACTACTGGATGCTCTCATGGCTGAATAGGGGAAGCATCACAATGAAGTAACCACGGTGCTAAAGGAAATTCAAGACAATAAAATCCATGCATGTGCTCCCCTGCTGCTCCAAGACCAAGAAAAACAAGGCTACTCATCAACCTTTGCTCTCCTCAACCACAAACAGCTCCTAGAACAGTGCTGCTCTTTGCCTTGCTGGAAGACATGCATGTCATGCAAGAGGTGATGGTATGGGACACTGGTCCTGAACCAGGTGGATGCTTAGAAATGTCATGAGTGAAGCTGAGCCCCAAGGGAGACAGAAAGAAAAGGGAAGGGCTGGGTAAAAGGGCAGGAAAACCAGCCCCTTCCCAGCAACAGAAGTAAGCTCAGCTGTTCTGGCCCTTCTGAAATTCCTTGGCAATGTTGTACCCTGAAGTGTGTAGTGATAGGGCAAGGTTTTAAAATAAGAGATTTGGTGTTAGAAACAAATTCTTCACTCTGAGGGTAGAGAGACACTGGAACAGACTGCCCAGAGAAGCCATGGAGGCCCCATCCCTCAAAGTGCTCAAGACCAGGCTGGATGGGGCTTTAGGCCCCCTTTTCTAGTGGGAGGGTTCATAAAAAGTCCCTCCCGAGCCAAACTGTTCCATGATTCTACACTGGGGTGTCCCAGGAGCACCAGTGGTTCAGCACAACTCACTGCAGCTGACTGTAGGTAACAAATTCCCCTGTGGCCATATTTAGGATGATGGAAAAAGGAGGAAGATGTGGCTGAAAAGTGACCTACATTAAGGACTACCAGAAGCAGGAACCCCTGACACCCTCCACCTCATCAGGTATCAGCACAACATCATGATATTAGTGACAGGAGCTTGGTGGCTTAGAGGTTAAGACCTCAAAGCCACTTCCTGGCAGAGAATCTGCAGAAAGTAGAAGCTATGGGTTGTAACCAAATGTCCTCCCAGCAAAAGCGGTAGGATCAGGCAACAAGGACTCTGTTAAGAGCCAGGCCTGGCATTTCCAGTGTTACTAAAAACCTGCTCCATGAACAGCAGTGTCTGGTGGTTCCCTGGGGCTCAGCCATCCACTACAGTAACCTGGCTGTTAAAGGACGGCACCAAACAGGCTCAGGGTTCAGCTCAACAAAGCTGGGAGGACTGAAGAAAGGTTGGGATCCTAATCAAGAACTGGGTCAGCTTTTAAAATTACTTTAAAAGGGTTATTTAAATGTGAATGAGAAAAAAAAAAGGGGCTGGGGGGGGGGTGGGGGGGGAGGAAGCAAAAGGGGTTGCATAACAAAATGCACCACTCAAAAGTAACCATATCCTCCCACCACAAACCATTATTCCAGGCAGGTTCCCACCATAGGCTCCATGTTTCCCAGGAGCTTGGCACAGCCAACACCTCCCCTGTGTTATAAAAAGGACCCCTTTTAGGGGGATTTCCTGCTGCTCTGCTCTATAAAACAATAAAAAGGTCCATGCAGAGAGTAACCAGCTGCTATTCCTCCTTCGGCCTCTTCCTCCAGCGGGCCAGGAGGGGCCCGAGGCTGTTCCACACCTCTGTGTACATGAGAGTCCCCACGAAAACAAAGGCAGTGCCCAGCCAGTGCCAGGCTGTGAAGGGGTTGCGGAAATAGAGGATGGAAAAGATGAGGCTGACAAACTTGCGCAGCGTCACCACCAGTGTGACAGTGAGGGAGGTGCACTCCGTGGTGAGGATGAAGACGCCCCGAATGCAGACATATCTGAGTGGGTGGGAGGTTAGGGAGCATCAGAGCTGAAAAGGGAGGTTCTCCTAGCCTCAGGAATGCAATATTTTGGGCAACGGATAACCCCAGTTTGGTTATAGAGGGAATAAAAGTCCCTTCTCAGCTCAGCTGTGCTACAGCTGAGCCTCAGAGACACCCTGGATTCTCAAAATCCCCTTCAGCCTGCTCTACAGGAAAGCAAAAGTCCTCCACTAGAGCAGCCAGAGCTGATATGTTAGCAAAAGGTTAATGGCAAACAGGGTTTGCAGTTCTTGCAACGGAGCTAAGGGAAACTAAAATCAGACTTCTCCATCTGTAACTAGTAGTGGATCAGCAGAAGTCCCTTTTCCTCTTGAAAAGGGCAAAGGAAAGGCAGATAAATGGCTGATCTCAAGGAGGGGCCTGAGCAGCTTTCTCACTGACAACAGTGAGAAAATTGGTAACTGAAGGGCCCCGTTTTCCAGGGTATCTTGGCTTCATCAAATCCGCCCTCGCTGCCTGGGAGATTGCACACAGATATGAGTGGCTGTTATCCCTTCTAATGGCTGGCTGAACCACTGTGAGCTTTTACCAGCCAGCCTGGCCCTGGGGAGGTGGTGGCAGATTTCAGCCATCCTGGAAAACGTCGAAGTTCCAGGTTAAATTCCACTCTGTATTTTCCAAGAGTTACACAAACATCAGCTACCAAAATGCAGGGAAGGCACCATGGGCTCAGGATCCCCATTCTATTTCACCTTCTCCCATCATGCTGTTATCTCCACAGCTTATCTCAAGCTGCACATTGGAAGGATACTGAGTGATGACGTTCATGAGGAGGTAGAACCACATGATTGGCATGGTCAGCCCAATCACTGGGATCTGGAATGGCTCTGTGGGGAGAAAGGACAAGGTCGTCTCTCAACATCAGTTATTTCAAGAAAAATGTATCTGCTGTAGGCACACAAAGTGTGTGGCAGAAGGAAGAAGGCTTGCTAACACTAAGGAGATGCAAGGAGAATGTTTCTCCTGTCCATGCATGACAAAAGCTTCATCCAGCATTTTCCAGAGGACAGAAAGGTATAAGAACAAGGCTCCACTTATGCAACACTCACCAGATTGGCTGAAGAGAACTGCATGGTGGTAGATGTTTGGAGCCAGGAGGACAAAGCCAGGGAGTGGTAACGCATGCTGGCAAGAAAAGGTAAAGGAAGGCATGATGTTAATAAATCATGTGAATCCACTCACTTCTCATTCTGAAAAATCAGTCTCACACATCTCTGTGGATGCAAGCGCACGCTTCACTGCTCTATCCTCATAGAATGTGATCCTTTGGTTTTCTGCCCCAGGAATATTGCCTGTTTTTAACATGCTCTGTGCACCTACAGCAGCAAAAAAACCTCCTCCCTCTAGGAAGCAAAGGGGGAAGATGGGATCATAAAACAAAGAATGGCTTGGTTTGGAAGGGACATTAAGGGTCATGAAGCCTCCTACCACAAGCAGGGCCACCAATCTCCACATTTAATACCAGAGCAGGCTGCCCAGGGCCCCATCCAACCTGGCCTTGAACACCTCCAGGGATGGATGGGGCATCTACAGCCTCTCTGGGCAGCTGTTCCAGCACCTCACCACTCTCTCTGTGAAGAACTTCCCCCTGATGAAGAAGGATCTACTACAGCCCAGGTATACAGACTGTGAATTCCACCATGCAAAGCACTGTTGTAGAAAAGTCACCAATCTGCTGCTGAGCAGGGGAAATTCAGGAAGCCAAACCTCCCCTCTTTTTAAAATTCACTACATGGGCTGCACCTCCAAAGGAAACTTTTGGGTTCTGAGGACTACACATAGCTGAAATCACTATCATTTGAAGTAGCTCACAGGGCTGCATGTATGGATCTAAGTTCCGGGTGGGAGGGAAAGGTTCTCTGAGTAGCTCTCTCTGCCCAGTAAAAGAAACAGAAAAGATGCAGTGACTCACATTGTAAAAAAGGGCCTCTTTGGAGTGCTTCCCAAACTGCTTGTACAGCGTCTCCTGGAAAATCCCCATTCTTGCAGACATGAGGAGGGCGAAGGTGAGTGCAGCAATACCTGGAAGAGAAACACAGCCTGGAAGCATTGCTTAAGCATGGCTCAGCTCAAGTCAACCAGCCTGAGGACTCCTGTGATTTGGCTTTCAGTGAAAGAAAAGACTGACAGAAGACAGAACTCCCAGACTTGGCAGGATGGGCTGAAAACTATTAATGGTTCTTGAGACACAGGTATCTTATTTGCAAAGCTTGAGATGCCAAGACAGTCCTGAATACATCTTAAAAGCAGGGACACAGAGCTGGAAAACAGAGCTGGTGGAATATACAGTTACTTGTAACTATGGATGAAATATCAATCTCAGGTTCCCTGAAAAGCCATCAATAAATGTAGGCTGGAGATATATAAAACTCAACTGGCAGACTGTAAAATATCCTCCATGAAGGACTGTGCTGAGTAAAAACTTGAACTGGCAACTGCTCCTTTTCCTCACTGCTGCCTAGCTCACAGCCACAGGTACAAAAGGCAGGGAGGAATCAAGAAAGTACCTGCCACCATGCCTGACTGTAGTCTCATTCTCTCACTACACTACTTCCTTGCAACAATCCTTCAGGTGCTGTATTTGACTTGTTGGCCAAATGAAGAGCACTTCCTTGCTCCTAATGAGTGCCACAAACTCCCACTCTTTGTAAATCAACATCTACTGGAAGCTCAGAGTAACAACACCAGCACATGGACTCCCACCACAGTCTGCTCTGCCCAACCCACGTGTCCAAGGATGAGACCTCAGAGAGCTGAGCCTTGCCTGCATCTCAGCAGGGTGGCTGGAGTTGTGCTCACATACCTAGCAGCCACCACAAGAAAACATGGAGTCCATCCTCTTCATTCAAGCTGGAGTCAGATGCCTGTTGGAGGAAGACACAGCAGTCACCATGAGCTACCACAACTCTGCATTCCTTCAGACCTGCCTCTACCTCATTCCTGGCTTGTGTTATGCTTCAAGCAAGCCCATAAAGAAGTCACTTCCTCAGCTGAATGGAGGTGACAGCAACTATAGCACATTCTGTTTTCCACTCTGCTTTGAGGAACAAACCAGATTCTAGTTAAAAATATAAGTGTCTGATCAAGAAAGGCATTTTTCTTAAAGAAATGCCCTGGCTTGACCAAAGACTGAACTCTTCAACAATAAAAATAACCAGGGCTGCTTAAAAAGCTCTCAGAGGGCCCACTGGCAGTCTCTTCTGTCCACATGTCACAGTGGACATAGAGGAAACAAGGACTCTGGCCAAGTCCCAGTTAGGTACTAAAACTGGCTTATGGTCAAGGGACTGAGGGAACCAGACCTGTCCATGCTGTTGATAAAACACTTGGTGGCATGACTTGTCTAAACTCTTCTGCTATGGTTTAGGGCAAATTAGATTCCACGTTAGATTTCCGTAACTCTGCATACCATATGTCATTCTTTCCAAAACCCCACACCTATGAAAAGTTAATCTGGATTAATACAGAGCAAGGCTGTAAAGCACAGACCTTCCTCAGACACCCTGAGAGGATAAGTAGCTATGAAACGATGGCATTCTTTGTGCTTGACAGCTATCCAGTCTCTCAGAGCTGGATGAAGTGAAACAAGTTTTCACTTGACTGTCACTTTATACCACTCTTCTGTCTTCAGCTGACAAGATCAGGCTGTGAATGCTGACCCAAATAAAGCCCAAACTGGTGCTACCCATGGATTTTCTTCACTCCCTCCTGTTTTCCAAGCATATGTACTTCATTTAAAGGGTCAGAGAAAGTCATGTTGGATGCTAACAGATTTGGAAAACTGTGAATCCTGACAGACTCTTCCAGGAAAAAGAGAGCAAAGAAATAAAATGGCTCATTTTTGTTAAGGATTTTCTTGCTCCTAATTGTAACACATCACAGTAGGAGCAAGAGAAAATAGCTCCTAGTTGTTACCTGTGTGGCAAAAAAATAATGGATTATTCTCAGCAAAAAGCAGCTTGAGTAACACAGGGTAAGGCATCTGTAATTAAACCATATGCAGGTGTTTTCCTTCCCTCTGGCCCACTGAAAAATGAGGAACAAATCATTTCAGGGAGCAGATCTAGGAGACATCTTGCCTCTCTATGAACACTCAGGCAAAGGGAATTACTGATGAAGGTGCCCAGGGCAGCTCCTCCTGTCAAAAAGTTTCACAACTGTGACTTCAGGCCTCTTCCAATCCTTACCACTTGCTTTGCAGACATGAAAGTGCAGGTAAAGATCCCCATGGAAACCAGGGCTATGGACATGTACTTTGACAAACTGTATCTGCACAGGAGAGAAGAGAAATGTCAGTGATCCAGCTCAGATTGTTCATCTATTTCTCCACTGCTTTGTATTTTATTCTATTACACTGTTACAGTCTTGGCATAATGGCCAAAAACTCTTTACCTAATGCTGGACATTGCTGGGCACAGAAGGCCAACTTACTGAGCAGAGGGGCAGAGTTCATAAAAAAGAAGAAGCCTGGACACGTTGGTGTGTTATCAATACTGTCTTAGTCAGAAAGCCAAAACACAGAACTCTTATGGGCTGCTATGAAGAAAGTTAATTCCTTCCCAGCCAGAGTCAGTATACCAAATAGAAGAGAAGTAAATGTGAGATGGAATAGGAAAGAAAAGAGCTAACAGTGGTCTGCAGCCATGTTTAAAAACTCTCATCCAGTCTACACTTGGCTTAAGTGAAGGAGTGAGGAGCAGTGGGAGTGTTGAAAAGGACCTTTAGTCCAGGCATACTCTGTGCCTCATCTTCACTATCAATAAAACAAGGATATTTATGAGGAAAGGGGAAGGCACTTAACATCAGTCAGGATTAAGTCAATGGCAGTGCACTGCATGATGGTATAAGAAAAGTGCTTGTGATTTACCTTTTTTTCAAAATGATGATACCTAGAGCCATGCTTGCTATGAGAGAGCCCTGGGGAAAGGAAAAGACAGAAAGAAAAAACAACAAAACAGAAGGTCAGCATGACAGAATTCCCTGCACTGGGGCACCTGCCTCAGTACAAGTACCTACTGAGCTGCCTTGAGCTCAGTACAACTACTATGAAAACATCAAGTGAAATGGCAGAACGGGATCAGGGAGTCTGACAGGGTAAAGTGAGTCTCACTTCAACTATCAGAAAGGGAGAAATCAAGCCAAGTGTTTTGGAAACAAGGATGCAAACAGGCTCCTAAGGTCTCCTGGCCCAGAGACCTTTCCTTTCTTGGCCCACTCCCAACACTCCATGTGCTACAGAGCAGCACGTAGCCAAACCACTGTGTTTTTAATTGGGAACAGGAGTGCAGCTGCAGAGATTGACTGCAGGGCTGTAATACACAAATCTCTCATGGTTAATGCAGGACAGGGCTCCTACAGCACTGTCTGTTTTTCTTCTTTTTAATGCCTCTTGATTGCATGTATCTCAATGCTATGACAGGTTGTAGAAGAAAAGTCTCCACCCAGCAGATGTGCCCAGCAGATTTTCTTATTCCCAGCAACCAGGGCTCTATTTTCTTTGGTTTTAATAGATATTTTTAGCCAGACACTCACATGCAAACTCTTAAGTGAAGATGCATTTTAATAGCATCTTCCAAAGCAGAGGCCCAGGGAGGATCAGTACATATGGCTAAATCCATCCTCTCTGACCCAAGGCATTTAACAAAGGCACCTACTGTAGAACATGAACCATTTTGTTTAAATATGAGGTGGAAAGGAAAGCTGAGTCCCTCTGGCCAGCAACTGAGCCCATGCAAGTCTGACAGACAAAGCCTGGGCTTGGTTTTGTCACTTTAACTTCCTCATCACCTCAGGAAAGATGAAGTATGTTCCAGCTTCAGTTTCTTCGTCTGTCTAGGGACATTTAATGGTTAACATTATGAAAGTAAGACTTAGAGCTGAGCCATCACAGCAAAATTGCTCTCCCCACAATTAAGCTGGAATTGTTTTTGCACAGGATTTTGTTGTCCTCAGGAAAAAAAAAATGGTGGAAGAACACATGCACCAGAGAGAGTGCTTGCAGAGGTGATGGAGAGAGATGTCACATGAGCTAGGAAAGGACAGCATGGCAGTACTCACTGATCTGAAGATCATGTGCAGTGGCATGGCAATATTTAAGTTCAAAGCATAGTTATTCACCACGCTGACAGTGAAGAACATGGCCACCATGATGAGGTAATACCTGGAACACAAACACAGAGTGGAACTCAGCAAAATCAGCCCATGGCTGAGACACACCTTGAGAAGAGACAAGTGGTACAAAGAGAGGCCTGGAGCTGAGCAGGAACCCACATAACTCTTGGTCTGTGACAAGAACAAAGAGAGCAGTACAATTTGGATGCAGCAAGAAAGTGAAATTGGAAGTGGGCTCCCATCTCCCTTTTCCAACTGCAGAAGCAAAGGGGAGCTGAGGATACCCCAGCTGGAATCTCTTAGCATGGATTTCCTCCAGACCCCTTTCACCTAAGGAGTATGGTTTAAAACAGGGCTTGATTTGAGGAATTTGATTTCTATCAGTAGGCATTGCTACCCTAAACAAAAGAAGAAACCATTCAAACCTAGGCTGAACACTTCTATGGTCCCACACCTAAGCTAGGGAGCTCCTTGCTGTCATGCAGCCATGAATGGCACTTGCATTTAGCATGAGAATCTCTGTCCCAAGTGCTGAGCACAGCATTCTGCTGCAGGTGAGGCAGTCTGCTAAGGAACCACACAAAACTTCCCCATGTCACATCAATTAGAGAGTGCCAGAGAGGAGAGCATGAATATTCCAGGCTATACCTGAGACAAATTAAGCCCTGATGCAGAAAATTGAAAGTGAATCCAGCTAGATTTCCAGTAAAGCTCTCCCTTCCAACCCCACTGCACAAAGCTCCAGAGAGACAGTGAGCTCTTCAACCACAACAGATTCTTAAATGTACAAAACATTGCCCTGTTTCTCAGACAGCTGCATATCTGACAGCAATTTCCTATTAAGTATTCTCGATAAAAAAGGAGTTTGTATTTTACCAGGCATGACAGGTTCTCAATGAGGCTTTGCAAATGCTGCAGAATGGATAGGATTTGGACAGGATAAAGGGATAAGCCATTTTATTAAACACTTCTTGAGATAACATAGCCCAGTCAATTTGCAACAAGTGAAAACATTCAGGTTCACTGTACCTCATTGGTATGGCTGGCCGCTTCCTCCCGAAGTTGGCTTCGAAGATAAAGCCTTCCACTGCAATAAATAGGAACTGGGAGAATGTCACTATGTTCCCACATCCTGGAAACTGCCTGCAGGTGTGGAGAAGAAAGACAAGCATAAGAGCAATGTCACAGAGCACAGTGCACCGGGCTGTAATAAAATCTGGCTAGCAGCTTACAATCTCAGAACGAACATCAACCTGGAGGGACTCCACTGTTTTATCTGCCCAGATTCTCATATTGTTTTTGTTAAATGCTTCCCTGCAGACACTGACTCACCTGTATTTGTGTAGATGAACGTGCAGCAATCCCTTTCCCTTCTATTTCCAAAGATGAAGGAAACAACCACTCCCTTCATGGCATACACAGTGAAACAGGTCAGGAAGTCTGGGTCTGCATGGTGTCCCACCATGGTATAGGGTGTGAATGCACAATATCAAGCACTGATATAACCATACTGAAGCAGGGTCTCCATTCTCATGGGGAGCTGATTTTGATAGAGCTCTCTCACTACATGCATGCTGCTGTGTGTGCTACAGGCCAGGTGAAACCATGACTATGACTGCAAGGAAGGCAGCAGGATTTCTCATAACCCCTATTTCCACCATGGGAAGGAAGAGCTGAGGCTCATGTCAGCACAGCAAAGCTTTATGGCTTTGGTTCTGCATGTACCCCATCCCACAGCACACAAACATCAGCTTGGAGCTGCTTTTAATTCACTCAGCAAACTTCAGCTTGCTGCCCTGCTGCAATTGCTGCAGGCAAGGAGCCTACAACAGCTCAGCACTGGAATCCCAAAAGGTGACAGCACTAAATCCCACAGGACAGACAGCAAGACGGCGAGTTTGCTAATGTGATGTGCTTTGCACTGAAGTTTTCTAACACTACAAGGTACTGAAAGGCACGAAATGGTGTCTGACCTCAAAGAAGAGACCCTGGTAGCTGGGAAACCCTGGTAGGTGTGCCTGCTGCAGGCTCTGCCTTCTTTCTAAAAAGCTCACATGGAACAGGAGAGGATTTCCCAGCAGGCACACTGTCAGCTGTTGAGAGGCTATGAGATGTCAGATGATCAGAAAGCTTGTTGTTATTTGCAGCAGGAGACACAGGGAGGACTTCTCCTTCCTCTGCTGCAAGACAGAAGCTGAGGCCAAGGACTTAATGGAGGAAATGCATGCTGCCAAGTCCCCACTGCACCAGCACACAGCTTGTTCATGGAAATATCCTACCACCAAACAGCTCCTGGAAAGGCCATCTTCTCCCTGTATGTTTCATGGCACCAGCCTGAGTGCCACCCCTCTACCTACCTGCCAACTTCCACATATTGCAGAGATTAATAATCCACAGAACTCCAATCCCTGCTGTCCAGAGTGGTTAAGAGGTTCAGAAGTTACATGAGGGAATAGGAAACAGAGCGAACCTGAGACAGAAGCCAGGTTGCATGAGGGAAAAAAAGAGAGACTGAATCACAGACTACAGGATTATAAACCATATCTCTGCAGGAAAACATAAAGCAAGAGTAAACCTGGGCTGAAAACAAGCCAAGACTGTTTTCTAGTACTAGCTTTTGTTTCCTCCCAATTCACAGATCCTTGCATCCAGCTGCCTGCTGTACATTATCACCTTACATTACCAATACAACGTTGGCAGAGGGTTACGTGTTGACAGATAATAAAAAGGCAAACAAAAAAAAAAGCCCCAAAATAAACAAACCCAGGCTGTATCCACCCATATGCTTGACTCACAATCCTAGCACACTGATAGACTTAAAAGAAACAGCAAGTAGTCTGCAGATATCAACCAAAGGAATTCTTCAGCTATAGACAACTGATTGAAAGACCTTCAGAAGCAAAGCACTGCCAATCTATGATGCTTCCTAGGATTGAACTGCCCGGGCTATCAGCATCTAGCAGCCTCAGCAGACGGTGGATGACAAGGGGAGAAACCCTGTTAAGATCTAACATACAGTGCTTCAAACATCTTTACAGGGGAGACACCTCCCAAGGACACGACTTCAGGAGGTCACATGCATATTATAGGCTTTCTAAGCAAGCCTGTATGGCTCAAGGGCAGTCCCACAGCATCAACGAGGAAAGGATGCCAGCAGAAAAGGCTCTGAATGCAGGAGATGGGAAGAATTGAAGTGTTTCTTGCTCTACTCAAGCCCCTTTTCTTCAGACAAGAGATTGCTTAACATGCTCTTGAAAACATCCAACAAGGAGTTTCCCTGCCCTCCCTCTTAGGGACCACAGCTGAGAGGGAGCAAAGCTTTTTGTTTGGCCTGCTTTACATCACTTTCATAGCAACTGAAGCCCATTATTTCTTGTCCTGTCTCCTCTTCTCCACAGCCATTTTCCATGTATTTCAAGTCTTCTGTCTGTCCTTCAGCATCTTTAGATTAAGCAGTCCTCACTCCTTTACTCTTAACACAGCAATCCCAAGCAAATTTCTTTCAGTCACCTTTGTCTTTCCCCACTAGACTCTGGTTACTGCATTTTTCTGTTGTTCAGCTCCAAGATCTCCTTTGTTATAGGCAGGCTCATTTTCAAGGCCTCCTGCCTTCAGACAACAGCCAGACCCAAAGAAACGAGCAGTACTGCCCCACTTTGGGTACTGAAGGTGAACAGGGGAAGGGAGGACACAGGAACTGGACTGATAGGAACAGGGGAATTTCTACAGTGGCTATGGGGCAAGGCTCAAGAGAAGCTTACTTGTGAAAAGCTGCTTTTCCTAGATATATTTGAGCAGCCTTCAAGCAGGGCCAAATGGTTGGAGGAAACAGAAATCTGGTGGCAAGCAAATGGAAAAACCCCAATCCCAAGCTCTTTTTATCTTTGGGGGAGTGGGGAGGAAGGGTCATTCCTTCTCCCTCAGTGATGCTGTAGCACAGATTAGAGCAATCCTCAAGAGGAAGGGCATATTTTGTTATGTAAGGTCTCTCCCTCCAAGAACTGCTTCTTGATTTATCCAGTGATTGCTGAGTGATTGTGCAACCTTGTGTAACTGGTCTTCCACTTTGAAGCAATTAACCCTACAACTGGAGTACTGGGTTAATTTTCCCACTCCCTTTTCTCTAATAGTTTGGGACAGTGATGGGTGGGGAGGAAGTAAGGACAGGTTTTAAGGCTTATTATTTCTAAAGCCTGGGCACTATTATAGTGCGCATGGCCAACAGTCAGTCAGGGAATGCCATTCCATGCTGACTAAGTATGAAGATAGACACACAACCAACTCAATCCTTATTTTTTCCACTCAGATCTAGCACTTTTGCTGGCAGACCTGACCTGGAAACCAAACCAACAGACCATCACTTCCTCCAAGCTGCAGCAGCCTTCCTCCCTCAGGGCGAGGAAGGTGATGGATGCAGAGCTCAGATGTATCCCAAACACCAGCCCTCCTTTCTCTGCCTCCATCAGGGCGAGGAAGGCAATGCAGTGCTGAGATGTATCCCAAACACCAGCCCTCCTTTCTCTGCTTCCATCAGGGCGAGGAAGGCAATGTGCAGAGCTCAGATGTATCCCAAACACCAGCCCTCCTTTCTCTGCCTCCATCAGGGCGAGGAAGGCAATGTGCAGAGCTCAGATGTATCCCAAACATCAGCCCTCCTTTCTCTGCCTCCATCAGGGCAAGGAAGGAGATGTGCAGAGCTCAGATGTATCCCAAACATCAGCCCTCCTTTCTCTGCCACATGACAGTTCACCTTCACCCTGAGAACTCCTCATCCTCGCTGCCTTGGCTTTGCTGCTGTTGAAGATGGTATATGCAGATGGATGGCATTCCCTTGGCCTTGCCTGCTGTCCCTAGCCAGCTCTTGTGCATTTTTCCTTTGGGATTTCCACTCTACGAGGAGCTGGGAGCAGAGAGAAAGGATTAAACGGACCTTCTGGTGGCCCCCACATCTGTAATGGGATGCTGAAGCGTGCCTGCACCAACAAAACCAACCCAGGCACGTGTAGAGCCGGACAACCCCCATAAAACCATAAAACCCATCACTGCCATTGCAATGTGCACCCAGGCTCTGC